GCCCCGTGCCATGAATCTGAGCTGATAATGGTGATGGCTTGCCGAGGCCAGAGGTTCAGAGTCCTCCTGGACTAAATGCACTGATTTATCCTCCCTCTTTTGTCCTTAACAACCAGCAACAGGGGAAAGAGCGTTTACTGCCTTGGGCAATGCTCCCTGTCCCCCCCCTGGGAGCCACCATACAGCGTAATGAGCTTAATTAGTAATAATACAAGAATCATTAAATAACCTCAGTAATGAATTGCAGACATTACTATGCTGCTTTTCACCTGGAAGGATTACAGTGGCAAATACCTCGATGTCTACTACATCCCATGAGGACTCGCCCGAGGAGGCTGAGCTGGTGAGTGTGAATCTGCCGATGTGAGCGAACCGTGCGGGGAGCAGATCCTCTCTGGTGCACTTACAGGTGTCCCCGGGCAGCCGGGACCGTGACTTCATGTTGGTCACCCAGGGGTTAATCACTGCAGCTTGTGTGGGTGTACCAGGGACTGCTTTAGGGCCACCCTGCTGTCTTGGGGCATTTTTTTTGCTTACAGAAATAAGCTGTATTTCTCTCTGGTTTTCCTTTCTGCTCATTACCTTCTAACCCTCTCTTCTGCTGTTTTTCAGTCTTTCTCCAGTTTTGCACTTTTTTTTTCCCTGTTCTCACCCATCTTCTGGTTCTGCCTTCACCCTCTTCAGTCCCCGTGTGCTGCCCCAGGGCCATTGTGGCAGATGGGCAGGGTCCAGCCCTGGAGATTTCCATCCCCAGAGCCAGGACATGGTAGGCAAAATGCACAAGGACGAGAAGGAAATTCCTCTGTGACAGCGTGTCCTAGGGGATACGATTCACCGTTGGGCGCAATGTGCTGTAAAACCTGAGTACTTTGTCATCATCCAGGCTTGGCTCTTTCTCTCCTTGACAGCAGAGGGTGCCCGGGGCCCGGGAATCCTGCACTGGAGGCATTGCCTGGGGCCGTCCAGCTCCCTGCAGGGCTCACCCCAGCCAGAAATTCTGTGTCAGCATAAAAGGCACGGTGGAGGCCAGACACTGCCCCTTGAGCACCTCATAGTACTGAGCTACAGACAGGAGTGGGTTTGGTTTGGGTTTTTTTTTTTTTTGGTCTCCAAAGAGGGAGAGGGAGTGAGAAAAGGAATTTTTCCAGCCTGTATGAGTTACTTAGGTTGACGTGGATTCCTGTTGTGCAGTTTGTTGTGCAGGTCCCTGAAAAATAGAGTCCTGTGGGTACAGGCAGGGTAGCTGGGGGGCAGGGATGGTGACTGGGTCTGCTATTGTCTTCCTAGGGATATATATATATATATATATATATATATATATAGTGATATATATATCTCCCTCTATATATGTATACATGTGTGTACATGTATATATACATATGTATATCTATATATGCATATATACTCACATGTATATATCTATATATCTTTTTTATTTTTGTTTTTTTACCAGGAAAAACTGATCTGTGAACACCCCCGGTGTTGCTTCGAAACCAGAGGCAGTCACAAAGCTGCTCTCGGCCATCTCTGCACAGAGCAGGAGCACCCCACCAGGTCCCACCTGCTGCCCTGCTCTGACAGGGCTGCGAGTGGAGGCAGTGGGGGGCTCATGCCCCATCAGCTTGTGCTTCCTCCTGTGGCTGCTGCTGCCCCTCACTCGAGATGGGGTAGCTACAGCGAGGGGCATGCAGGAGTATGGGGCAGGATACGGCCCATGAGCCTTTCTGGCAGGCTGCTCCTCTTAGGGGACACATAGACCTGGCGACTTGTCACTGCACGACCCTGTGAGCCTGACACAGTGATGCGGCTTAGTGGGAGCTTTTAATGTGCGGTGGAGTGGTGCATGAACGGTTTGTCATGCAGAGCCGTCAGGGCCGGAGGATGCTTAGGACCCAGGGGAAGCGCTGGAGAGCCTGGCTGGCTGGGCTTGGAGGAGCTCCTGCCTCCCCGGCCAGGACTTCTCAGGTGTCCTGGTACGGCGGCGCTGAGCCAGGCGAGCTGGGCCCTCCTGGCAGCTCCCCCTTCCCCACGTCCATGCCCATCCTCTGAGCCCCCCTGGGCACCCATGAGCTCGCCCAGGGACTGCTCCGCACCATGAATGACCAGTACCACCGAGCAGCCCGGGACGGCTACCTGGACCTCCTGAAGGAAGCCACCAAGAAGGACTTGAACTCTCCGGACGAGGATGGCATGACCCCGACCCTATGGGCCGCCTACCACGGCAACCTGGACGCCCTGCGCCTCATTGTCAGCAGAGGGTGAGCGTGGGCGAATGCACGGTGCTGGTCCTGGGGGACAGAGTAGTTGGGACCCCGTCTCTCCCCCCTCCCTGCTTGCAGGTCAGTGTGGGTGCATGTGCCCCACAAAACGATGGCTTCTCTCTATAACACCCCTGTTCTTGTACTCCCTTCTGTTGTTTTTCTCTCCTTGTGGTGCTTTTGAGTCTAATCCAACACTCCTGACAACTGCTCTGTGTTTTCGCAGCTCCTCTGAGCCTATAACCACGCCTGCCCCAAACCCTGCCTGCAGCTCCCCAGGTGGGGCTGGGTCCCCCCTGCAAGTGCTTTGAGTCCTGTGTCAGGTCCTGTAAAGACAGGCAGAGCTGAAGTGCAAAGCCCCTTGTGTTGCTGCCATGAAAACAAAGCCTTTTTAAATGAGGGAGCAGAGGGAATAACTGCTCCTTCTCTCCCAAGAAATGCTCACAGAGAGATGTATGCAGTGCCAGCTGGAAGTAGGTGACACTTGTCTGTTGTACCCAAAGCGAGGTCTCAGTATGTGACCCCTGGGCAGCCTGTCATGCACCTGCAGCCCAGAGTATTCAGAAACAGGTTCCCCAAGAGCAGATTTCTTTAAGCTCAGTCTCCCCCACGGGAGCTGCTTGATGCTGATGTGTGTCTCAGTACCTCACCCAGACTGCCAAATCTGAGGGTCTCAGGCTCTGTAAACGTGGATGTGGTGGAGAGAAGGGAGTGGAACTGAGGGGACTTGTCAGACTGGGGGCGTTTACATTTTGGTGTTGGGGGAACCGCACAAGAAGGTCTGTGCTAAGGCAAGATCAGCCATGCCTAGTTCTTTCTTGAGCAGTACTAGCTCTCTTGTTCGTACCAACCTCCCAAGGGAGAACGTGCCAGTGGTTCCTTCTGCTTTGGTAGCTTTTCTGAGCTAAAGGCATCTAAAGGCATCCAAGGTGGGGTGGCCTCTGCCTTGTCTTGAGAGGTTGGTTTCAGTGCTGCTTTTGATTTGTTTCTTTCTAATATTGAGGAATAGTGCTGAGGCCAGCAGCCTGGATGGACATCATGCCTTGTTGAAACGGCTTTGCTTCTCCATGTTGGGTCAGGGCTCGGTGGGGCCATCAGCTCCCAAGCAGGGATTTGCTGTGCCCAGCCTGGGCTGCATTTGTAGCTCTTGTACCTGATAGCTGAATCTCGACTGTGCCTGCTCCTGGGCTTTCCCATCTCTTGATACTCTGGTCTGCTTGTACAAAACCTTCAGCTGGTTCCCTTGGCCCCGGCCAGCTGTACTTACAGGCAGATCTCCCACACACGTTGCTGTCCTTCCATTGTAAAGCATTTAATTTTCAGATCCTGAGGTCAGAAAGGCTGTGTACAGAGTCACTCTGAGAAGTGCTTGAGTACCTGATGCAATAGGAGTGTGGTCAGGAGATGATTTCAGAGTCCAGAGGGGAGAGGGCAAGATACTGCTCTGGATGGTGCATCCTGAGATACTCCTGGGCCGAGAGCCCCGTGATGATTCCCTGGGTGGGGGCTGCGTGACTGACTATGTACCTCCCAGGAGGGACTGTGCCCAGCAGAAACCTGCTCTGAGCTCCTGCTGGGAGAGGAATCACCACCCAGGGCCAAAGAGACAAGGGCAGGAGCTCTGGGGACCCCAGAGCTAGAAATGGTTCCAAAGACTATTTGATGGCCAAAAAGTCAGTCTGAAAGGCCCACACCATGGATGAATGCCTTTCCAGAAAGCACAAAGGCTTTACATCTCTTTATATCATTATATCTCCTTATATTGCCTGCCTTGATCACAGGACACCCTGCAGGACCACTGCCTGCCCTACCAACCTACACGTCCAAGCCAGCAGTTTCTGCCTCCCCACAAAGCCCAAGGACTGCTTAGCCATGGAGGGGCCCCTTTTATAAATTCACATCAGATTAAAAGGCCCTTGTGGGCTCAATCATGTCCGAGTGCAGCTTGGCTGCTGTTTAATTAACAGCCTAATATACATTTGTTCCTGACAGGGAAAATAGCCTGGCAAAAGCCCAGTGCCCTTTACGTGATGGATGGTGGAGCAAAGTGTACGTCTGTGGGGCTGCAGGATGCGTTTTCATCCATGCATTCATCTCCATGTGTCAGATCCTCGCCCAGGCCCAGGCAGAGATCCGTGAAGCCTCCTCGTGCTGCCGCTCAGCTCGGTGCAGAGGCAGACACCCTCTGCTCCCTGGAGCTGGCTTTGGGTCTGCAAGAGGCAGGAAAGCCCCAGCCTGGGGATGGGGGTGCCAGAGAGGGGCAATCATGCAGGACCCAGGAGAGCCCGTGGGCAGACCCTGTAACTTTCTGCTAATACTTAGGACAATGTGCAACGGTATTTAAGTCTTGTTCAGAGTAGAAACTTAACTCTGTGTTGGATATGTTGCTATTACACCTGCGGTATAACAATTGTGAGGCAAGAGGGAGGACCCCTGAGTATCCTAAAATGTCAGGGCTTCTCTGGCTTCTGCTGTCAAAATATTCCTCCTTCAGCACGCAGCGCCCTGCGAGAGAGGAGAGTGTGGGTTCGCAGCATGGGGTAGTGCCTGGGGGAGCGGAGGCTTTGGGGCTGGGCTGGCTCTGTGCAGGGATGGGCTGGGAGGCAGTGTCAGTGTCTGAAGGGGCTGGTCAGCTTCCAACTGCTTTTCAGGGGGATGCCAAGGCACAGAAGGTGATGGGGGTGTCTTGGGGCAGCAAGAAACACCAAATTCTCCTTGCTGGTGCTGGGCAGTGATACTGGTTCCCAGACAAGTTCGGAGATTAAGTGCTGGGGCCTGTTCCAAAATGTCCTAGTGAGGCTGGCCAGAGGCTCCCTGAGAGAGCAGAGCTGTGGGAGAGGGGCTGCTGGGGGCAAAAACCGTGACTGATTGTCGTGCCCCACTGCAGGCCAAGCTAATGGACACTCAGGATTATCTAGGCTCTGGCATCAGTGAAGGAGCCTCATTCATATGCCTGTATGTTCAGCAGATTGTGGTGTAGGGCTGAAATGGGGAGGGGGAAAGAAAGTACAATAAATCTGTTGGTGGATCCTTGAGGAAAGTTCATCATCTCAACCCACACAGAAGGGGTAACGAAGCAGACACTGCTCTGTCTGTAACAGCTAGTGATGTGTCTGTGCTTCTGTGCCACCTTTGCATGGGGATGGAGAGAGAGTCTGAGTCGGAGGGATCAGCAGTGGCTCATCCTTCTGGTTTGCAACACAAAAAGCCTTTTTATTCCTCCTGACTGGACTCCAGTGAGGGAAGCAAACTCAATTATCATGATGGCTGGGAAAAGGCAGGCTAACTGGCATTTAGTATTGCAGCTTTTCAGAGGCAGTAATTCTTCAGCATGGTTTGCTATGAACTGCTGTGGCAGTGGTGGGCATCAGTCCAGCTCCAGTTAACTGTAGATCTGGGAGCCTTGTCTGGAAATAGCCAGGACTTTCTTGCCTTGGAGTGGATGACAGGAGAGGTGAGGATGTGTCTTTCTGCTAGACAGGTCTGCAGTCAGCTTTGTCACCTGGCGTTTCTTTGCAGAGATGTGCCTCAGTTTCCCTTCTTACAAAAAATGGGGATCACAGATGCTTTGGGTGTTAATGACTGATGGGTGCGAGTGGCTCAGCAGTGGGTTAGAGGGGATGAGATGTCTCCTGACATCAGCCCGGCCACTCAAGGAGTCACGTCACCTTGGCTGGGTCAGGGTTGCAGTGGAGGTTGCAGCAAGGCACGTGAAGGTGATGTGCATCCTCTGCACACCACAGGGCTGGCGGCCACGTGGGTGCCAGGAACAGCGTGGCCGTGTTGGTGGGGATCTTTCCCGGGGTGGTGACCTGCTGGGAAGGTGAAGGAGCAGGGTGGAGCGCTGTCAAAGCTTCGTTGCTTCTGGCGCCTGAGCTGGCTGCTGGGAGTCAGCGTGAGGTCTGGGCATGGTGGAGTGCTGAGCGGGAGACGTGCCCCTAGGCACTGCCGCAGCACAGCCAGCCTTAATGAACCCCAGTAACGCCAACTGCTAGCCCAGCTTTTGCTGCTACAAGAGGCAGAGAGCCCTGAGATGAACCTCACCTACAGCATCGGTGCTGGATTTTTGGGCATCTGAACTCGGAGAAAAGTTGAATCCTTGACCTACCACCACCTGGATAAAGCTTGGGATACAGGACCCAAGGGTCTACTCCGGGTCCAAACCCTCATCTTTTCTGCTCATTTCTAGGCTTTGCTTGGGTCCTTGCCCTGACTGGCTACGCTGAAGCTGGTGGGCTTTTTTCCCTCAAGCCATAAATGTTTTTTTTTCCTTTTTCTATATCCAAAAATGTTTTATGGGAGCCAGTGACACTCTGCATACAGCTGGCTCCTGGTCTGAGGGCCTGATTCTTCACGCACACCCATGAGCCAGGGGGTGAGCCAGCCCATTGCTATCAGAGGAACTTCACACGTGCAGCCAGGGAAGGACTTATGTAAGTGCCGCTGGATTCCCCGACTAATTGGGATCCTATGGGAGAAGTGGAGGGGAAAAACCAGCAGGAAGGGAGTGAGTGTGCCAGTCATGGTGCAAATGCAGTGACTCAGGAGATGCACACGTCCACCTAAGGGGCTCAATTAACAGCGTTTTTAATAATGATTATTACAAGAGTTGACTCAGCACTCGAAAATGCTTTGAAGTTGAGAAGTGCTGCACTTCACACCTGTTATTAAAATACGTTCCCACTTAGTGGACCCTGCAGTCAGCATCTCCTCGTGTGCAGCGCCCTGGAGGTGAAGTTTTGCTGGGACAGACACCTGCCAGAGGGAGGGCCTCATGTTTATTATCTGTGCCAGATCAAACTCCTCTACTTTGCAAGTCGCTGTTCTTCTTTCCTTCTGATGCATTTTTAGCGCCTGCGGCATTTATAGGGCAAAGGGGCCTGGATATCTAATTTTGCTCTAATACTCTTGTTTCTAGACAGTGGCAATGTCGGGGGAAAGCTGGTTTTGATGCTCTTTCCCCTCACTCACTCTCTGAGGTAGTAAAAAGTACGAGGAAAGTAGACCTTTAAATATGAATCCACTGAGACCTCCCTGGCTTCGCTCTTTGCCACCTCAACCAGACAGACAGGAGAATGGGCTCTGGGAGGTACTTTATGGCTCGAGCATCCATACACTTGGCTTGGGGAGCAAGATCATTTCTAGTGAGTCCTCTGCTAAGTCACTGTCCATATTTTGAGTCCATATATGTGTTGGGGCCCTCATGGTGCCCTGTCTCATCTGCCCGCACATGTCAGGCACACATGTGCCCATTCAGAGCACATGTAAACAAACGAACAACCCTCCACGCGCTGGAGTCCCACCGACAGCACCAGCAGTTCCAGTTTCACTGGCTCTTTAATCTAGCTCCATCAATAATTTACTGCTCTCTTGCAATTCATCAAATATTTATCCTCCCCATGAATTTCCCAGCCTGGACATGTCACTATGAGGGTAGAGGCGAGGGCTGGGGAGATACCGCTCCTGGAAACTCCGCATTGCCGCAGTACTGGCAGCTTCCTCCTCTCCTTCTACTGGCTTCACACCTCCTCAACCCTGTGATCTCATGCCCTTCTCCCTAGGATCTTTGAGGCCTCCTTCTGCTTCTATGAGAGATGTCAAAGGTTCTGGATACAGAAGTCCTGCAGGGTTTGTGGGTCGCTTTGGCCCTTACACAGTTTTGAACCTTTTGACTAACCTGCTGAATTTTCCAGCTGGCTCAAAGTTGTACTTATGAAGTTTCTAAAATTTTATGAAAATACGTGCATGTGGAGCTACTGCTGATGATCCCACAAGGGGAAAGCTGAGCACACCTCATAGCAGGTGTCAGGAAATACAGCCAGAAAGCTCACACTCTGTGTCTAAATATTCTCCAGCTTAATCTCTGGACACTGTTTTTATTGCTTCTGTCTTTTGCAGAATCATTTCCCTTCAGTATTACATAGCTGAGATGTTGGCAAAGCCTGAAGATTGCAAACAAGTCCTGACACCAGCTGGGTTGCTCTGCTCTGGCCCCGCTGTTCCCTGAACATCGGTGTCCGGAGCGGGCAGCGATGGGCCTGCCTGCAGTATGGGAGGGGGAATGTGCTGGACGAGGCTGTTACTGGGTCTTGTGCATGGGTGCTAGTGGTGCAGATGCAAAGCAGCAGGGGAAAGAAGTCCCTCAGCTTCCGTGATCTCCGTGCTCTTTCTCTGAGGTAGTTTTCAGACTCCTTCAAGTGAGACGAGCCGTAGCACAGAGCATGTGGGGTTTGGGAGAGGGTTCTGGGCTTGCTGCTCCCAGCTCAACACAGGTCCTAAAGCAGCACGGAGTAAAGTAACACAGGCTGAGGGTCTCAGGTGTGCATTTACCTTCCAGACTCCTGGTGTCACTGGGGCTGAGATCTTCGTGGTGGAGGGGCAGTGCTCGGTTCCTCTAGAGCTCATTGAAAGGGTGGTGAGGAAATGGGAAGGAGCCAGGGCCCTGCTGCCCACGGGGAGTTGCTCCTGAGGGTGGCGGAGCGGCACAGCCTTAATAAAAGGCTTTGCCTTATCCATGTGCACAAAGGGAGAGCGTCTTGTTGACAGATACTGCTGCTGGCTGCATATCATTAGCGCACGCGCTCAGGCGAAGGCTGGTGCCAGCAGGGGTGTGAACTATCTCTTGTTTCAGCAGGTCACAAATTCAGAGCAGCGTCAGGACAGACTTCCCTTGAATCCTAAGTTTGTGTCTGTTCTCTCACAGGAGGCTGGAGATGTGGGCAAGCAGTTATGCGCCATCAGCAGCTTGCTGGGGCAGGGGCCAGCACGGTGTGAGAAGAGATGCTAATGGCATTAGTCGAGTGTCCAGCTCTTGAGGAGTGCAGAAACCTAATCTCCACTTTCTCTGAAACTGGATTCTCAGGATGTGCTAATACCAATGTGCTTCAAGACATGCAGTCGAGACAAAGTACTACATAGTACAGCAAAAAACCCCACAAAACCCCAAACCCAAGGCCAAGGCTAGCAACTTTGCTCTTATTCTCTACTGGCAACGTGCCCTCTTGTGCCCCAGATTTCCCCAGTCACCAGTGAATGGGAGGGTGGGAAGGTGCAACAGCTGGTGGGTTCCAGAACCATTGCTGAGGATGGCTCTTTCATGGTGGTGCTACCATCATGGTGGGACCCCTTGGTGTCCCACACAGGATGTGCTGTATAGAGAGGGATTTTGAGATGCCTCACTGCAGAATCTGAATAAAGTCAAGATTTGAAGGTAGAATCTGACTAGAATTTAATGAGATGTTTGAGATTTGGAATTTTATAACAAGCACAAGGTTTGAGTTGGAATCAGCCCCATATCTCAGTTCTAGACTATTCAGAATTTGGTTTGCCTCCCTCCAAAAGCTGATTTGGTGCAGGAACATATGTCTCCTAAGAGCTAAATTCAAGTCATGGGAACTACCACAGACTTGCATGTCAGGCATGTGATTCCATGTCAGCAGTGCACCCTTCCAGAAGACCTGCTTAAAATTAAGCTGCGGGGGCCAGAGCTGTGTAGCTTCATATTTTGAGGAGGCAACAGTTCGTGGAGCTGATTTTGCCCTGCACAGCTGGGAATATCTGAGAAGAGTCTGTCAGGCATGCCTGCATGCTAACTGGTTGATTTTCTTGCTGTCTAGGGGCGATCCAGACAAATGTGACATCTGGGGGAACACCCCTCTCCACCTGGCAGCAGCCAACGGCCACCTGAACTGCCTTTCCTTCCTCATCTCTTTTGGGGCCAACATCTGGTGCCTAGACAATGACTACCACACCCCGCTGGACATGGCAGCCATGAAGGGGCACATGGAGTGTGTGCGATACCTGGACTCTATTGCTGCCAAGCAGAGCAGCCTTAACCCCAAGCTGGTGAGCAAACTGAAGGACAAGGCCTTTCGGGATGCAGAGCGGAGGATTAAGGACTGCGTGAAGCTGCAGAAGAAGCACCATGAAAGGATGGAGAAGCGGTACAGAAAGGAGATGTCGGATAATTCGGATACCATGAGCTTCTCCAGCTATTCGAGTAGCACCTTAAGCAAGAAGTTCCAACACATGTCTATGGTGACTTCCCTGCCATACTCACAAGCCACCATCCATGGCACAGCCAAGGGAAAGACGAAAATACAAAAGAAGCTAGAGAAGAAGAAGCAGGTGGATGGGACGTTCAAGATCTACGAGGATGGGAGGAAAAGCGTGCGGTCTCTGTCTGGTCTGCAGCTGGGGAATGATGTCATGTTTGTGAAGCAGGGCACATATGCCAGCCCTAAGGAGTGGACTCGGCGTAATATCAGAGACATGTTCCTCACAGATGAAGACACTGTCTCCCGTGCCATAAGTGACCCGGGTTTGCACATGGACTCAGCCCACTCGGAAGTCAGTACCGACTCTGGCCACGACTCCTTGTTCAACCGCCCCGGGCTGGGCACCATGGTGTTCCGGCGCAACTATGTCAGCAGCGGGCTTTTTGGGATCGGCCGGGAGGACGCTGGTGGGATGGGTGAAGACAGCGCAGACGGGATGGGTGTCAAACTGCGGAGCCGCCTGCAGCGCTCGCCAAGTCTCAACGATAGCATTGGCAGTGCCAACAGCCTGCAGGAGAGGAACGCGGAGGAGCTACCCTGGGATGAGGTGGAGCTGGGCTTAGATGATGATGATGAACCAGAGACCAGCCCCTTGGAGACTTTTCTGGCTTCCCTGCACATGTTTGAGTTTATCTCCATCTTGAAGAAGGAAAAGATTGACTTGGAGGCCCTCATGCTATGTTCAGACAATGACCTGAAGAGCATCAATATTCCATTGGGCCCCAGGAAAAAGATTGTGGATGCCATCCAGAGGAGACGACAGACTCTGGAGAAGCCAGATGTCATTGTAGACACTGAACTGTAAGTAGGAGATGGGGCCTCTGAGCGATTAAACCCTTCAGCAGGTGGAGATGTGGATAATGTAAGATCTTGTTTTCAATCCACTTGGAAGAGTAGGAGTCCAGGTAACTTCAGTCTCCTGTGTGTGGGCAAATTCCTGCTCGTGTGGAAACGATGAGAGTTCGGAGAGGTGGCAATAGTGTTAGTTCATTACTCAACAGCTCTGATGTGGCTGGGCAGGACACGAAGCCCTTGTTTTGTTTCATAACCTATATGAATGCAGACTGCTCTGTGGTCTGATTCTTCTGAGTCCCTGTAGCTGAGATTTTCAACCATGCTCAGGCTTGTCTTGACTCTTCACCTTTTGAAGGCATTAAGAAATAAACCACAATTCCTGGTGGGAGCAGGCTGACGGCAGTGCCCAGTGGCATTGGGAATCCTTCCCCAAATGCTTGAGATCTTACTCAGACCTTTGGAGATTGCATATCTGGGTTGGAGTTGTTGCCATTTTATGGCGTTTCCAGGTTGGTTTGGTTCAAAGGATCATGTGACTGCTGTAGAGGTGAAGGGAAAGCACTGGTGTGGGTCTCCCCACTGTCACGTCCACTGACACCCCAATCCACTGTGTTGTTTGTGCTTCCCAGCCTCTGAATATCTGTGTGCTTCTTGCTGCTTTTTCAGGCTTTCAGTACAGCTCAGTCTTGGATCCTGAAGGTGCTGACAGATTTTTCTCTTTCCCTTTGCAGATAGCAGCATCATCATTTTATTTTATTTTATTTTTTTTAATGATCAAGAAACAAACCCAGTTCTAAGTTGCCAGAAAACACAAGCCAGAGACTCCCTTCCTGGGGCAGCTGAAAGCTACAGCCATCCCCACCAGTCCCTCTGGGCTGCCCTCCTGTTCCCTCACTCTGCTCCCTGTCTGCGCGATGCTCCCAGGCGGTACCTGGTGTGGAGGGACGACTGCTGAGATCGGACCAGGCAGCTCCAACCTGCCAACCTCGAAGGGATGATGGTTGCCTGCTCACTGGAGGAAGAGGTGTGCTGCACAGCTGGCTAGGACACTGTGCTGTCAGAGGCTGAGAGACCACACGAAGCCATGAATGGAAGGTGATGCATGATGGTATTTTCAAAGGGACCCAGAATAAATCGTTACAATCCATTCTTGCTTGAGCAAGTGGTTGATTTGTGGTTTGAGCTGGTCGAGCAGAAGGATGGGGAGTCCTGGCCTTGCTCCTTGTTCTCGGTTGTGTTGTTTGCTGCTGTGTTTTCAGAAGGGAGTTTTGGTTACTGTAGCTTGGGGCTGTTCAGCTTGAGACATGTCAGCCCTGACTTTAGCCTGCAGGTGCTTAGCGTGTCTGTGAGTCCAGTCTGTGCTGTCTTGAGGGCAACGATCTGAAATAAGTACGGTGGTTTGAACATGTCGATAGTTGCCTTCCAGTGGTCAAATGGCTGTCCCATGGAGGCAAGGTTTCTGTCCCATCTCTCCAGGGCACTTGAGCTGCATCAGCAGTTTGTGTGCGAAGGACCCTGACTTTTGTCTCCATGAGCTTTTCAGGGCTGCAGCCCAGACCCTCTTCCAAGTATTCCTGGTGCATCAATGCTCAAAACACAACTCTGAACCGTAGTGTTAGGTGTTCTGCACGGACCCATCACATCTTTTGCTGACCATTGCACTCTTTTTTCAGCTCCCAGCCCCACTGCACCATTTTACATACATGGATGGTTCCTGGGTGGCAGGAGGGTTTCTGGGGTGCAGCAGCAGGATGGGCACCTGGGCAGTGACATATCCTAATGGGAGAGAGTCAACAGCCCCTTGCCATGGGGTGCTGGCAATGTGCCTCTTCAGACTGTGATGCAAACTACCAGATCAGAGAAATGCCGCACGTTGTTACTGGTACCGCTTATCGAGCCTTATCTCAAGGATGCACATGATGAGGAATGACCTGAGCACAGTGACTCCTGGCAGTGCTCACCCTGGCTCTGGCTGGGATCTGGACTATGCTCGCCCTTCGGGGCTGGGGAGGTTGTGGGTTTGCTGTTTGGAGGATGGGGATTTGTTTGGTGAGAAGCTTTGCTGCTCTCTGCCTGTGTATCCCCTGGGTGTGTGTGTGTGTGTGTAGGAGAGGAAAAAACCTCTTTGCGAGCAAGAAATACACTTTGCAAGGTGGCTCTCTGTCCTACTGCCCCCCAAGTGGCTGAAGCCCCACCAGGAGAGCTGTGGGGTCCCAGCCTTGTGCCACTGCACACAGAGATGCTCTGGCATCAGCTAAACACCACCACTGCGCTGAAGGTCCAAGATCTTTCTTTATGGATACAAACTGAGTTTTTCTACATGATATTTTAGAGCTAGAAGTGCTTTTATATTTGAAATAACAAGTTCTGCATAACTCTTGGCTTGATTTCTAGGCAAAAGGGTGAGCGATCAGATGTGCTGAGTCAGTGAGTCCTTTGTGAAGGCTGCATGGTGCCAGGGCCCCAGCACTGTTTGCTTTGGTCCCTCTCCAAAGGCCAGGGCTACTATCCCTGCAGGGAGAGCAGTGGCTCGGCGTGCTAATGTCACAGCTCCCTCTGCCGGGACTGGGTCTGGGAGAGCAGGATGGGACCCACTGGGGCTGCGAGGCAGCAGGGATGCGGGCCAGCAGAGGGATGGCCACCAAGTCCTGCTGCAAGCAGGACCTGTAACCTAAGGCCAACGTTCAGGTGAGGTTACAGTGGCTAAATTCACCCCCTTCCTCATGCATGTGTGTGACTTCACCCAAGCCCTCTGCCCTGGCTCTGGATAACCAGCGGAGTGCCAGCTGCCTGCCACAAACCAGCTCCAATTCCCTGAGCAATGAATCGTGCTTTTGGGTTTGTGCTGGACACAGGAGGGGAAAATTTTCCCCTGGCTCACATCACTGCCACTCTGGTGCAGTGGGGACCAGTTTATCCCAGTGGATGACAGGGAGAAGTGGATCTATTGCCTTGGCACCTGCTGGAGCCTTTCACAGGCCAGGTACTGGGATGCAGCAGGTATTTGGGGGCTGCCAGGCAGCTGGGGTTTGCACACTCTCTAACTTTGCCTTTTTGCTTAGGAGCACCCAAGCAGTTGCTGATGTTGGGCTGATGCTGACAGAGATCCCTTCTCCCAGCTTGTCTTTCCTCCAGAGCGCCAGTGGTTTGGGGATGTGATGGTACCCAAGTGCCATGGGACACATCCCCACACAGCTAAAACCGAGTCCAGAAATGCCACTCAAGATTGATGAGCCTCAAGACCAACGTGATCACCTCCACAGCCGCAGGGAGAGACCAAAACAGCACCAGTGCAGCGTGGCAGAGCCCAAGAAACGGGCTCAGGCCCACAGCTGCCCCAGGTGGGGTGAGGAAGACGGTCTGTGGGCATGGGGGTGGCTCTCAGAGGCACTGACAGCCCCAGAGCAAGCACCTGCTCTCTGGGCTTGTGCATGTTACTTGGCTTTGGGTTTAGTCTGCAGTTTCCAACCACGTTGTCTCCCAAGAAGCATAGGGATGCAGCCCTTGCAGGACAGGGTGTTTGAACCCCTCAGCCCAGGAGACATCTCCTAGTTTCCAACTCTCCCCCAGCTGGCTGGGTTCCTGCATCCCACCAGGCTCGTGATGGAACCAGGCTCCTCTTGCCCTGGGTACAGGGAGGGGATGTGGCTGTCCCCAGGTCCTCACAGACAGGGCCCATTGTTGCTCTGCCCGTCAGCAGCCCGGCCTTTGTGGGGGAACCTCGCTGGTGCTAATCGTATCTGCTCCACAGCTGAGAACAACAAACTCCTTTCGGGGAGGGCGCTTATGAAAGCAGGGTGGAGGCCAGGGCTGGCACACCCTGGAGAACACCCTTAAATACCCTCCCAAACAGAAACCAAGCCAGGCAGCAGGTTTCCCCGAGCTGGTGCTGCCAGTGAGCAAACACCAGCCTTCGGACCTGCCCGTGGCAGGACCTGCCCGCGGCGCCTGGGCAGTCGGACACAGCACAGGTCCTGCGGGAGCTGTGGCAGTGGGTGGCAGCATCTCCCAGCAGGGAACCTGCGAGCCTGGGGATGATTGTCCCTCAACGCCCCAAGCCATGAACGCCAAACCACCCTGTGCCCATGTTAAATTGGGCTTCCCAGCAAAACCAGTCCCCTGGCTTTAGCTTAGACATGTATTTCCCAGTCCCCAGTGGTGCAGGAGGTGGTGTGTGTGGAGCAGAGTGAGGCCAAGGGGCCGTGACAGTGCCATAGACACCCCATCCTTGAACCAGACAGCCCTGACTCCTCGACTGAAGGAGCATTGCTCACAAAAGTGATGCCGATTCAAGACCTGGGCCTTATCCCCATGCAGCTGCTACAAGGGGGATGTGGTGGCACTTGCTGTCACTCAGGTGCTTTTGTTTCCCCATCCTTAGGAGCTGGCTGGGCTCCCAGACTGTGGTCTGGAGGAGGGAGAAGGCAGGGGAGGTTTATGGGGGTGGCGGAGGGTGTGCAGTGGCAGTACCGTGGCTAGCCTGGGGTGGACATGGCTGTGTCCCCTAGGCTGCCAGCAGAACTGGGGACACCATGCCACATGGGGCTGGCATGGCAACTGAGAAGCGACATTGCTGGTGGGACACCAGGTAGGTTCTAGAGGTACAGAGGACCACGGGGAGGCAACTCTGTCAGGCAGGAGCACCTACTCCTCAGCCCTGCCTGATGCTCCTCTCCTCCATCCTGACCCGGAGCCGGTGATGGCCATGGTGCCCACACCAGAGGGTGACACTGGGGTCCAGGACCTGCCAGGCCAGCGCAGACCATTGCACACCACTTGCTTAAGTATTTCCTGCCCATCCCGCTGGGGATTCACTTCCTGGCCAAGCATCTGAGTAACGTGCGGTGGCAGGAATGGAGGCGAGTGGGAAGGGGCTCCATGCAGAGCACCCGTGGCACACCCCGGCTTTGCCATGAGCTTGCACCATGACCCCCCCACTGCTCCCCCAGCAGCCGAGTGCAGCTGGATGTGGCGTTGTTATGGCCTGGGTTGGATGCAGCACCTCGCAGGGGCTTTGCAACAGCTTTTGGGTCCCTCCATGGCTGTTCCCAAAACCAAACCACCCCGAAAGGCACAACATGGACACGGCCCAATGTGTCCACCTGAGAGAGCTGCTGAGCAGGCCAGGAAAGCAGAAGAAATGGAATGTAATTTTCTTTTAATGCTGGCTTTAGGTATTAACAGGATTAATTATTTCCTACATTTGCTTCGTGCAATTCATAATTGTTATCAAAATAGCAGGCGATGCCGTGGATTCTGCCACCAAGTGTCTCAGGGCCGAAGTGAGCTCCCCAGTACCCATCACCCCGGCTTGCTCCCAGCTGGGGTGACTGAAGGAGCACCTGCAGATGGCACTGAGCATCCCTGGGGGGCAGCTGGGGTAGGGCAAGGTGTGGGGTGTCACCGGTGCCCCAGGCCCATCTGCCTTTGGTGGTCTCCCTGCGGTGCCTGGTGCAGGCAGGCTGTTTGCTTGAGGTACAGGGTAGGGAGATGCTCCCTCCTGCATGCTAAGCTAAAATCCTTGACTGCCGCTGAATGAGCAACAGGAGCAGGGCAGCACCTCCCACGGGGCTCAGTGCAGGGCTAGAGCCCAGGTTTGCTCTGTAATTGTGGGGTTGTGGCTGCAATAACCTTTTCCAGCCTCAGCAGAGGTACGGAGCTGTTCCTGCAGAAGCATGCAAGGAATTGCCCCTGCTGCGAGGCCCCCCCAGAGTCCCTCAGTG